CCCCATCCCGTCCCTCCCAAAGTTACACAGCACCCAAAAAGCAGACTACCGAAGCGTCCTGTTTTGCAACCAAGTTTTTAGGACAGAAAAAATAAAAAAAAAATAAAATCATATAAAAGCTCCGCTCCCCAGCGGTTTAATCCCAAAGTTTGTATTAAACACAAAAAATGTAAAGCGCCGACATATAATATAGTATGGCTACGTCGTACCGTCGTGTATCGGTACCCTTGCCTAACACCATTATTACCTAACACCTAACATCATTACCAAAATTCATAGTTTATTGTGAATACCAAAATGTATTTAAAATTGTATTTTGGGTCAAATAAACATCATTAAAAAACACAAATTCGCGACCAGGGTTAAATTTCACCCAAACTTAACGCACATTTGATCTACAACAAAGTAAAAGGTATCGAAATAATTTTAATGAACATAAAATTTTTAAATTTTAATTAAAACAAAAAATGTTTCGAAAACTAAAATTAAACAACAGTTATATATATAAGTGAAATTAGTCAGAATAATAACCCTGGTAACTTATTTGAAAATTATTGAAATCGATGAATTGTAGTCTGATCGATATAATTACCCAATATTTTACAAAGTATAGATCGAATGATACATTTACGTTCGTTGTAAGTGTTCTATTCCTTTAGGTACGCAGAGGAAGTGCTAAATAATTTCCGTATTATGGTACTTTTTTCAATAATAATAAGTACACTTGTCTTGACTTTTGGTGGAATTATATTAATTGTGGTAAGTGAGACTTCTTGTGCTTTACGTATAATATAACGACTTGATAATACTATTTCTAAATAGAATTCACCACTACTTCTAAAACTGCAGTTCGTAATCGTATCTCTCACTGTACTTACGGAAGTTTTCATGTACGCATGGCCTGCTGACCACTTAAGAGAAATGGTAAGTCATGTTCTATGTAATCGTAATTTGTATATAATTTATTTGTTACAATCGATCTATCACATTTCTTAGAGCGCAAATGTTTCACGAAGTGCATACAACTTGATATGGTATAAACAGACGTTAGAAATACAAAAAAATTTACTGAACGTATTAGTATTTCAAGAACCCGTAACTTTGTCTGTCAGTTGCGTGTTACCAGAGCTCTCTCTCCGTTATTATTGTTCGGTACGACAAGTTAATATTCAAATGTCAATTGCGATAAATATATCAACGAAGGATAACATATGAATAACAAATTGGTGACATTTCAGTATCTATCCAATGCCATGTCCATCTTCACCGCTTTGCGTGCCGCGATAGGAGATAATTCTACATAAGCGTATCCAGAGTATTAATTTTATCATATAATGAAGTTTTCGTTACGATCATGATTAGCATCACGATTACGAAGTAAGTTCCGCAATTAGTAAAATGTCGACGCTATAATATCGGTGAAAACTAATTGTAATACTTATATCAAACTGTGAACTTGTTGCGTAATGCACAAATAGACGAATAAACAGGAATCACTGTTAAAAAATGTGACTCTGTATATTGTAACAGTTACATTACTTATAATTAGTTGCATGATTGATGACTAGTTAAAATTCTTGTTCCATTATTCGTAATATTATGATTAATACAAAGTGTTTGTCGTAACAATCGGATACTTCACATCTGTTATAGCTGAGCGTATATGTTGAAGGTTGATATACCATTTAGTGTGAAGCTTAGGGGATTACCCTAGGCTGTAAGAGTAGAGGTAGCAGCTGATAGGGCCGTTTACATTATATGATATTGTTACGATACTCCTGCACCAAATATATATTACATTTCTTTGAAATAGTACATTGTCGATGAATAAAAATAGTGCAGCTTCCAACATTGACGTAGTCCATCGTGCCTCCGGAGGATGTATTTGGGGTGACAGTACATACTGCACTGATGTTGTGCAGATTGTGTTTATCAAATTATGTGTATTCAAATTATAATTTGAATTTGTATTACCGCTTTGTGGTAGTACCTTCTTCTTGGATTATAAGATTGTGCTAGAAGATTGATTTCTGTATCAAACGCTTTAAGCTTATTCGTAAAGTTTTGTAGAAATAAAATCTATTTACTTTACGGTTCTTACAAGCTATTATTAAAGAAAATGCATTTTGTAACTTATTTATATGTTGTTGTTGTTGTATTTATTTGTTGTGTATTATCATTATTGTCGTTATTCAAATAAATGCAACTATATAACCAGAAACATTAAAAAGTAACAGGATGCAGTAAATATTCGTAATGAACTGAGTTATTCTGTTAGCAAAATGTAAAATTGCGCTTTTATATCTATAGGGAACAGGGACCAAAGTAAACAGTTAACTTTCATTTCTTGAATTCTGTTCAACTTATATTCTGTTCGAACTTATATCTCCGTTTAAGAAAATATCTGTTCCTGTTCCATATCTGTGGAGTTGTTATGGAAAGAAATATTATTTGTATGAACTTCCTTAAAAAGTGTTCTCGAGATATTTTAGATTCCATTTAATGAAAATTTCGCAGAAATACGTCATTTTAGGACGTACATTAAAAAGGGTACCATGAAATATATAAAAATACCAAACTATTAAATACTAATTATATTTCACAATATAATACATATATTGATATTATTTGCATGTTTATTGAATGAAAGGTATGAAAATCGTAACATAAATAATTAGTTGTTTCATAAGAGGTATTGTGCAGAAAAGAGAACTTATCAAGAATAATTTACAAATAACATTTTTTCATCATTCAAATAAGCTGCAGTTGGTAGCAATTCTATAATATAATAATGCATGTATAGTATAATAACGTGTATAGATAATATATTATGCATGTACAACTCAGTGACGTTCTTATCTTCAAAATTGTTCACTTGAATCAAAAACATGAATAAGCTTTAAACTGTGAACAACCTAAGTAAGTATTAAAAATAAATAATATATTTACGATATAAATTTAACAGTAATAATGATTTAATATCGTTGTAGTATCTATTCGTTGAATATTCGATATTTGTTACAACAACTGAGAACTCCTTCAATATTGATGAATAAAATGTCTGTTGCTGTTATAGGATGTTTCAAGATTCAAGGTCATTTTAAGATCGTAGTATAAAGTCACCTTGACATTTTATCGAAAAAACAATTTTTTGGAAATTTCATGCATTGAAATTTGTAGCCGATTGAGAGCTTATTAGCTTTCGTTCGAAACATTATTTTGTCAAATTATGTGTAAACGGAAATGTGTAAAGCTCTTAACTTTGTTTGGATGTAATTTATGAAATAATATTTTATTAATTATATATGCAATAATAGTAATACATATTAATAGTAAAGATATGTATTCTTTATAACGATGAGATCTTTGAATTCATAAATGCATAACTGGATTGCATAGTTTTTAATATTGCTTGTGTTTCTTCGACCAGTCGCGGGGAGACGTAGTCGCTAGGAGAGACGTCAACGGGAG